TCAAGGAAATATATAATGCTAATGTAATTAAAAAAAAAAAATGTCTTTAATCAGTATGTTTCACTGTAGATTTCCCAGCACTCACATGATGCTATAATGTAGTCAGCAGTCAACGATGAGTCTAAATCCTTGCCAACTTTCCTCTGGAATGAACTGTGATGGAAATATATTAATTTTTTTGTAGTAGGGCCCCCCAGATCTTCAGGTTTTCTATCCAGTATTTTGGCTTTCTAGAATGTATTGACATTCACTTAAAATCTTTCCGTGAAGGTGAATGCTCATGCGAGTTGCCTGTAGTTTGGGAACTACAAGTTAGCAAAACTTTTGTTTTTCCTAGTAGCTTGGGTTTGATTACATCAAGGTATACTGCTGAATGTCATCTGACTTGCGCGGTGGCAGGAGGCAGGTGTAAAAGAAGTACCGTTACCCTTTGGTTGCATCAGCTTGTTTTCCTTGCTCCTGGGACAAGAAACAAAGCAAGCAGACTTTGTATTGGAAGTTCAGAGGTGCCAGTACTATGCAGCGTTGTAAATTAAAAGTAACTGTATGGAGTTTAATGCTCCAGAAGGAGCATAGAAGTTGTCAGATTTCAAATGTATCAATGTTTCAGGGAAACTTGTCTAAATAATTGTCCTAAGGATGACTTAAAAATGCATTCTGGCTTGAGTAAGTGCTAGTGTTCTACCTCCGTCTTCTATGTGGATTCAATTTTTAATGAATAAAAAAATCATTCAGGAATTTAAATGCAAGATGAATGACATTAAATCTGCAAGTGTTAGCGTCCTTAAAAAAGAAAGTGGAATAAACCACCAAATTCTTAGGCTTGAAAAGTGTATTTCAAATAAATTGCAAAATCTAGCCATGCAGGATAAAATACAGAAGGGAGAACGCACTTGGCTTTAAAATCACAGCATTCAGCTTGTGGCACCTGCTAAGAAAAATGCGTACAGAAGCATCCTTCCCCTGAGTTTCCAAGGGAGATATTTAAACTGCCTTGTTCTGAGGAAGGCTGGACAGCACTGCCCTTACTGGTCGTCCTGAAGTACTCGTGAACTGCTTGTGGCCTGGAGCAGGCATTGCTCCCGTGCTTCTACAGGGCTGCAATGTGGGGAAGGACGGGTACCAGGGGAGCGGCGTTTGCCCCCATGGCTTGGAAGGGAGCAGAGGTTCATGGAAGTCATGGACTTAGGCCGTTCTTTCTCTTCCATCTCTACATCCCCCTCCCTCTTGCCCAGAATAAAGCCAGGAGGTGGGAAGGGCAGATGACCAGGTATGACTCCTCACCTCTCTGAGTACGGATTGTCCCTCTGCCAAGTGCCACTTTTACCCAGTTACCCAGGGAAGATCACTGAGATTCGCAAGTTTTCCAGATCTTGCAGGACCCAGACTTGCTCATGAGTAACAAGGGTTTTTCATCACCTTCCTATGTTTTCCTCTACAGTGCGCTGGTTTTCTGTTGAGTAGCCAGCTGTTAGACCAGTGCTGGTACTCAAGGTACTTCACCCTCAGGGTATCTCCTGTACTAGCAGTCAGGTGTGAGTCCACCCCTGGTTTACAGCTGCACACCACTGGGGGTTTTAGCACACGGTAGGGCTCCAGCTGGGGACTGTGTCTTTTATAAGAGGACCTTAAACCTTCAGCTGGACAGATTCTGCCTTGAAGGTTTGGTTCTGGCATTTTGACCTTATATACTGTCAGCCCGAGACTGAATGGTTGGGCTATGTCTTCCTAAATGGAGGGAACTTGTATGATCTACCAAAGGGACCCTTCCTCAATTGCCCTCTTTGTTGACAAGAACATGTTAGCAGCATTTTAGGAGGCTTTGCACGTAGCAGTCTGTGGGACTCGCAGAAAGCAGACAAGCATGGCGAGTGCAGTACTGCCTCAGTCCTGAGCTCTGCTGGTTGTGTGGTCTGTGCTGATGCTCACAAAACTGCAAATGTCTTGTCTCATGGACCATCTGCTTAACAAGAAATTGTATTCTTGGTTAACTTGAACTTAACTTGAACTGTCGGGGAGAAAAATGGTTGGGCTGTGCTATTAACAGGAGGAAATAGTTAAAAGGCTTGGGAAGGAGAAGGAGTGACCAGGTTTCCATGGGCCATGCCGAATGTCTATAGCTCACCTTAGTGTCTTTGGGCCCCACACCGCTTTGGAGAAATGGAGGGTAGAAAAAGAGCATAAAAATAACAAGGAGAATGTTGTTCCTTGGTTTCCTTTCTTCTTTACTTTTCTTGAACTTAGTTTTTTGTCACTTCTGTGTCTGTTCTTGTGGCTTTCATTCTATCCCTGGCCATGGAATGCTCATCACAGGCAGGCGTTGAAAGGACAATTAACAGATGTATCTGCTTCTCTTGTGGAGGGATGAAAAAATACAGAACTTGACCGGATGCTAAGGATCCTCCGTTGCTACCTTAGGGTCTGCTTACAGCAGGAAGCTCTTTAAAAAGCTCGCCTGATGCCACTGCTGCTGGTTACAGGGCTATGGCAGCAGCTGCCGGCACGCTTCACTGTAGCATCAGCTGCCTCTGGGGTGTGTATTCCTATTTTATGCTTTCCATTATTCCTAACACCAATGGGCCTGAACGAGCATGGTGTCAGCAAAAAGAAGTTGCCCTGAGTCTGCCTTAATTTGCACTAGTAAGCTGGTGCAAGGCATGGCCGCCGTATAAAGCTTCCTTTGCACCTGACTTGGAGGGAAATGGCAGCAGGTAGAGGTTCTTGGTTTCTGTTTGCAGCTCAGTTGTCTTCGCTTGGATGTTGTGGCTTGTCCCTGGCAGGTTTTCCACTGCCTACAGCTTATCTAGGCTGATAGTAGGTAACTGTTCAGAAAGCACAACCACTGTTCATGGCAGGTGGCCAGGGCTGCGTGGCAAAAGGCAGGCAGTCGGCGTGTGGACACCTGTGGGTGGGAGGGAGAGAGCTGATGCGGGTATCCCAAAACTGCTATGAGGTGGTACGGAGCCTGATCTCGTCGTGTTTCTCTTAATTGGATATATAAACTAAGGTAACCTGAAGAGGTAAGGGCTGGTAAACATCTGGATGCTGCCCTCTTCTGCTTTTGAAGTTGGCTTAATACCTCTCAAGTACAGTACTCTGAACCTCCCTCTTCAGATTCTAGTTGTTATTTCTCGGTTGTAAAACTGCATGAGGAATTTGATATTTTCATATTTGCATCTGGTCCTTCACTTTGGAATAGGAAGAAGCACTGATTTTAAACTACTTCTTAGTTTGTATTATGTTTGGGTAGGAGGAGGCTATCTAAAGTTAATTTCTTGTTTCAACAAGTCAAAAAACCTAGAAATGCCTTCAAAGTCTGCAATTTCTGGATGTTGATAATCTCTTGAAGTCTGAGCATAATACTTGTGCTGTAGGATAACCAGTAGGGGCTAAGTAATACATGGCTGCAATCTTTTATACCCCAATGGTGTCCTCTGTTCAGCACGATTATCAGGATGGATTCTTTGCAAACTTCTCTCTTCACATTAGGCAACACCAGTCAATTTTTTTTTTCTCCGGAGGGGTCAGCAAGGGGTCAGTTCCTTCAGAGGAACCAAGTCAAACTTAAAAAATAGTGAGTAAATGTCTTCCACTTTAACCAGTAGAAATTTCAGCTGCTGTGTAGGACTTGATTTTGCTTTCAGGACTGAATGTGTCTGGCAAAACAATGCCTTCATATCATTAAATGCACAGCCCTGTGGGAATTAAGATTTAAATCTTGGCAGAAGATATAAAGCTAACGTCTAGATTTATGGTTTTCACAAAAAACCCCAGATGCATTCTGAATACTGAAGCACTGAAATATGATGCTCTGTAAAATTAATGTTAAATGCTGTTCAGATTTTACAGTCAATTGGAGTGTATTGCAAAGAATTACAGCTACAGATTGGTGAATAGTAAACTTTTTTTAATCCTTAGAAGAGAGAGAATGTGAGCCGGACTTCTGTTGCTTTTGCAGTGTTTAAAGGACCCTTCAGCTTGTGGCAGTAAAAATAGTATCATCCACACACAACTGACAGCTGGAAGAAATACTAATTATATTTCAGTATTCTTTCCCCAAAGATGTTGATAAAGTAGGTGAGCTCATGAGTTGTTATTCTGAGTAGTTTGCAATACCAGATTTTTTTTAAGTTATCTTAGAGAACCAAGTATTTGTCATGCCATGTGGTAGAAATCTGTGCTGTGCTTAGTGGGTAGGATTGGATGTTACAGTTGTATATGAGTTTTGCTGTAAGTTGCAAAGCTTCTCATAACTATCAAAGATGAATAATTAGTACTGCCCTAACCACTCAAACAAAAACCCAAAGGCTTTTTTTGGAATTCTTTTTGCATGAAGCTACTGCTCTGAAAACTATGATGATTTCAGAAGAAAAATGTATATAATTTGCAAAGTGGAAAAGATAACAAGAGATGTTTCTAAATGGCTTGTTATTCAAATTGTCAGGATTAAGGTCTGTTCGGCTATCCGGGTCATCTTCAGAGCAAAGTCCGCTAACGGATCTTTTCCACTAGTGTTTTGAGGAAATAGTCTCTGATCACAACTGAAGTGGGGTAAAAATGGCAGCAGCTGGAAAATCCTTGTTGCTAATGAGCAAATCTAGTGTCTGTTAAGGCTGGAGAACTCGTGAAGCTCAGTGGTCTTACAGGGGTGATTTGGTGAACTAAGAACAGTCAGATGTCATGATGGCACTTAGTTTTCATAGCTCGTGTTTGCAGACCTCTTCTAGCGCACACTTCCAGTTTGGTGGAGGCAGAGGAGATGGCTTTGTTAGTATTCACTGCTCCTAGGAGTTGCCTGGGAAATCAAAGTTCCTTCTGTGAATGTCCAGGCTAGATTAACAAGTGGGTGAAACAGCATGCCCTGGTTGGCACAACACTTGAAGACTTTTACTTGCAGCTTGCCAAGTGGCAGTTGCCATCTAGTTCAAGTGGAGCCCTCGAAGCCAGGTCCAGCTGACTGCTTGGTGGTGTGTTGCTAAGTAGTCTGCTTGGGGCAGCCGATGGTGCGTGTTGAAGGCGGTAAGTGTATTCAGAACACCTTTATATATGGCTTGCATACTAGCCACTTGACAAATAACACACGATTTTGGTGACAGTTTCCACAGTATCTTGTGTAGACAGAAGTTAATACTCCACGAAGGTTTTGCAGTCTTCTACAAGAATTTTTGTTTGCTCCATCCCACTTAGAACAAGGTGGTAATCAGTGTTAAAATTCAGTGTTAAGCCCTTGCTTGCCCTTCTGGAATAAGTGAAAATCCGTCCAACAGAGGGGTGAATATGTACTTTTAGAGGAAATTAAGTGGAATTCAACCTTCTGCTAGTCCCCATGTGAACACCAAGGAAACAAGTGTCCCATTGCAAAATTAATCTGGATTAATGGAGTTGATTATCCCATTATATAAAGGAGACAGAGATTTAAAGGGGGCTGATCTTGTCCTTTATTAGAACTCTACCAAGATACCAGTTATGTTTTTAGCATCTCTTGGTTTAAAATTAAGATTTATAGTTCAACACTCTGAGTTTCAGATTTCTCTGTAACAGCTTAATAGCTCACAGTGTTCTAGAAATGGTAAGTGCAGGGTGTTGGCATACCTTCTGGTCCTTATAAAGCTGTGCACTGTATATGTATGGCTGCAATGTGCCAAGCATCTAACTTGCTATTTAAAGAATTTGACTCCAGTGAATACTAGGAGTACACAGCAAACTAGAAGAGAGCGTGGTGTATAGATTAAAGCCTTTTTCAGTGCAGTAGGAGTTGTCTTGAAAGTAGGGGAGTGTCACTTTGGCTCCTTGTAGGTACTATTTCACTCAGCCATCAGCTGAGTCCTCTGAAAATACTTGAAGCTCCTTCATGAAGCAGCTTGGGTCCTGGAGAACTCTGAAGTCAGATCATCTTATCTGTAGACGATCCTGGAACTGTCTGATTACTCGGATAGGAAAGCAACCAAGCCTCAAGTAGCAAACTTGCAAACCACAAAGATGAGATGGGGAAATGCTGATGGGAAATGATCCCGGTTGCTGAAAGACGTGGCCCAAGGACAGGAGCTAGATGTTCTCACGATAGCAAGTAAGACTCTGGCTTGTGGAACACAGCGTTGGCCAGGAATCCCATATGCCTACCTACAGTAAAAACAAAAACTCTTGGGATTCAAGTGTAATAAATACACTTTGAATTCAAATAGAAACATTAGTGCCATCTTGGAACTATGCCCAGAAAACATCTATGACCTGTCAGTTATTTACAGCCCCTCCAAGAATCAATGCAATGTCCGGATTTTCTTTAGATGGTTGGTATGGACATCTGTTGTTTGCTATAAATAAAAGGTATACTACCTTGCAACTGGGGCAGTTATATTTTTGCACAAGAGTTCTACTATAACTGTAAAGTTGCGTGAATATGAATGTATTCTCAAGTAATGAAGCTCAACTGTGCGTGCAGTCGAGGAGAACTCTTAGCTCTAAAACGTGAGCCTATATTCTGTGAAAAGGCATCAGCACTACAGGGGCCCAAGTGCTAGTCTGTTAAATAGAGATACCCATCTGGGCACCAAAATGCATTGATGAGCAGCTAGCCTCCAACAGCTTGGATAAGACTTACTGATTAAGCAGTGTGTGAAACTTGGCTTCAGATTTTTGCATTTTTAGCACTTTGTGTCTAGTTCCTGGAGGAAGGGAGGGAGAGGGGATGTTGTTTAGACTCTTCAGAAAGATGCGTGGTGTCCGTTATTCCAGAGTATTTGAAACTATGGGCTATCAGACTCTGCTTCATCATGCCTAGAAGAGATACCTTCATCCCTTTCCTGGCTCCCTACGCTTGAAAAGGCTGTGCCTGTACTGGGCATCACAGGAGCTGGTGCCCACTGTTAGCACACAACTTTGCTAGAGAAAGGTTGGAGTTGCTGGGGCTGTATGCTCCTCGAGCTGTTAGTGTGACAGAGTTGTGGGTGCGTGGTCGTTTAAAAAAGCTGCTCACAGCAACCCAGGCAATCTGGGAAACAGTAATGCTACTGAAACAGTGCTGTCAACTGGACAGTGATGTCTGCGAGTAAGGCTAGTCCCTGGTTTGAAAAGGTGAGATGTGGTCAGGCATCTGAGACTGATGCAACCTTAAAAGTTGTAGGCCAAAGTCTACAAGAATCTGCAGTGTGGTGTTTGTGCAGTTGGCAAAGATGCAATCAACTTCTTTAAAGAATTTGTGGGTATAACATTGTATTGTTTTTTATTTAGCCTGTCTGTGTTCTGTTGTAGCATGAAAGCATATTGGGATTATGCCCTTTGAACTTTTCTCCTGACCTGGAAATTGATGAATTCCATATCTGTGGGCAAAACAAGGTGTCTTCCATTGGAACTCAAAATCGGGCATCTCATTGTGACACTGCAATATGTACACGCAAGTCACTGGTCCTGAGCCATTGCTAGAAAGACCCATTAGTATAGAAACTTCCCTGGAACAGAGGGAAAGGGTGCAGAGGGTGATTTCTGAGACATGTAATTATTTGGTTAGTGAAACGACATGTGAACAGAATGAATTGGTTGAAGGCCTGAGTATGTGGTGAGTGATTCTGGTTGCTGCCATAACAATGTTGATTATGGGTTGATCATTGCTGAATTCCTCTTCCGTCAACTAAAATTGACTTCCAAAGGTTGGAATGATTTGTCTTGAAGAGTAAAATGCTTTGTGGATGTAGTACACAAGCTGAACAATTCAACTTGACCCATGCGGTGTAGATAAGCCCTCTACCCTGCTTGTCTGGGAAATCTAAGAGCAGAGATGTTTTCCCAAGAAAAGCCCCAAACAGGCAATCTTTGTGGCTTCCCAGAAGGTCAGTTGTCTGAAGTCAATGGTATTTGATTTAAGAATAGAAGTTAGAGCTCATCATTGGGAGCCTGTGGCGAGGTAACCTCCGGTGGCCACCAGATCTTCACTGTAGCTTTGTTCCTAAGACAGTGAGAAGCACAGCTAGATGTTGCTTCCAGATTGGGCTGTTGTCTTCGTTTCTTCATCTTCAGTACAGAAATCTGCAGTAGACATCTAGGAAAACACAAGTACCAGGTGACAGTCATGAGGAATAAGTAGTTCTCCTGCATGCAGTACAGTCCATACTTTATCTGAAAACATACAGCCCCAACATATTAGAAGTGTTATGTAAGTCATGTAAAAGTTAAGTCAGTTCAGCATCAGACTTACCATGTCTTTCACAGTATTTCACTAATACTTTCTGCCTCTTTAGCAGTCTTTTACAGCCAGTCTACAACATAACGCACCTTGATATGATCACTGTCTAAACAGTCGATGTCTCTAACAATGTCCGTTCCGGGTCTGTCTTATTCAGTCCTGTAATGTGTTTTTGTAACTTTTAAGTGACCTGTTCTGTGGGACTCAATAAATGGGGTTAAAGAAGAAAAAAATGCATTTTTTTAAAGGATGCCTTTAGAGAGAAAAACTTATTTTCAAAGCTGTTGCATGGATTAGTAGTACTTGGCCCTTTATTTTCTGAATTTCGAGTCATCCTAAATAGTCAGGCTAAGAAACTTAAAACCAATATTCCTTTCTAGTTGCTATTTAGTTTCCTACTAAAACATTCCCTTTAAAGGGGGATATCTTACCTTTTAACTGCCTTTAAAAGCTATCCTTTTGTTTTGAGTAGTTCAGTGAAAAAATGAGATTTGTTTAGGAACAGAGAGCACTGAAACATTGCTGTTGTTTTAAAAGTTTTTTTCTTGTTAAACTGTTCACTTACCAATTTGGGACCTGAAAGTCTTGTTTAGCCCTATATTTATAATAGCGGTTAAAGTGAACTTTACTGAGGTTGGAAACATACCTGTGCAGGCACCCCTTGTTTTGAAATAACCTAAACTTACCCTTCTTTGAAAGTGGCTTTTGTAACTTGTATTCTCTTAAATGAGTTGGGTCTAATGCAGTTGGTTCTTGCTTGCACTTTATTTTAGGAGCAAGAGACTTCTCTGCGTTTCCTCATGTTGCTCCCCAGCCAGCAGTTCCGAAGAGCTGTTGTGTTGAGCAGTTGTGTTGGAAACCCTGTAATCGAAGTGGTGGATTAACTTGACAACTTCAGCTTCATGTGTGACAGCACATGGTGTATCTCAACCGGAGCACACCTGCTGGCTGGTCCATCTCGGGAAATGCCTTCTGGATGTTCCCTGTGAGAAATGGCCTTGAGCTTGGCTTATGCGGTAGAAATTTATTGGTGGAAGTTGCCCTTAGGGTGGGATGCTTTTAGCATACAATGGTGTTCAGTGTCGCTGGATGAAACCCTGAGCTTCCGTTGGCAGCACAGCTTTACGTTAACAACAGTGTGGTTTCCTTAATGCTTTTCCTTGAAACACAGTGAAGCCCATGCAGGTGTCCTTACGTACAGTGGCATAAACAGATCGCTGTCATTATCCCACAGCATCTTGTTCATGTCTCTGGTGAGTTTTTGGTTCTCTGTCTGTAGTTACAATGAAGAGGTATCTGGAAGCTGCTCCTCCTGCTAACCCGTGTTTCTTCATTCCTGGGCTGGATGCTACACACAGCTACAGCTTAGAAAATTTGAAGTGCGTTATAACAAAGTTCAGAAAAAGCTGGATTTCCTTGATTGGTGGTGCTGGGACAGCAAAAATTTACAACGGAGGTATCTCAGGTTTGAGCAGCAAATGGAAATTTAATAGAAGGCCCCTGGTTTTCCGTGGCACGCACAGCTGGCGTGCCTAGGTAGAGGCTGTTCTGGGTGGTGGCTGCCTGAGCTTTGCAGGAGTGACGCTGGGTACTCTTTCTGGAGGCATGTCTCCTGGAGCCCCTGTTCGAGGAGAAGGCAGGTCACTGGAGAGAAAGGGTATAGATCTCAGTGAGACCTCTTCAAGGTGAGAAGCTATAGCGTGGCTCCTTCTGTGTAGCTATAGAGGAAGCTGAGCTGGGTTTCGGTTGTCGGTTCCTTCCCCTCCAGCCTTCGTGCAGGATTGCAGCCGAAGGAAGGTGTGCCGGGAACAAAGGGCTGAAATAGCTGACTTTATTTTAACTGCCTTCTCTGGCAGTCAAGAAAAATAAATAACTTTCCAAAGGATGTTTTTGGCAGGACAGGCACAATATCTAGAGACAGAAGTCTCAATTCATTGTAAGAAGGGCTGTTTGTTAATCTGGGAGAGACACCCAAGTCCTCCAGCGAAGCATGTAAGAACTAATCCCTGCTGGTAACTGGTCACTTAGGTTTCATGTTTGTGATCTGAAAATAGGAACAGCCTTGTAGCCCAAAAGGGATTGTGCCTTACTCTTACTATCAAAGTGCACAAGTGGTGAAAAAGTCTTTCCTGTTCTCTGAAACAACTTCAGTAAAACTGTCGAACTGTGTATCCTGAAATGGTGCTTTCTTGGAAGTGCTGCCCAAAAGAGGACACCTTTGGCATTATGAAGATGTCTGCTGCTCAGTAACTACAGTTGGTGCTGATATTTTGATCAGAGATTGCAGATTTCTTTTCTGTTTTTAAACGCTGTGCTGAGCGGTGTTAGTTGAGACTTCACTGTTTCAGCTGTTCAGAGGTTCCCCCCACCCCATTTTCCTGTGGAGTTGCAATGACTGCAAGACCTGATCTGTTTTCACGTTTAGTTGGCAAAAATTGCCTTCTAGTGAATGTGAAAACAGCTCTTGGGGGGAAAAAAAAAAGATAATATTTCTTATCAAGTGAAGGATTCTTGCACTTATCTTCTCTTCATTTCTGATAGTAGCATCTTGGTAGCTGCATGAGTCTGTTTACTTGACCTTTCTGTTGAGAACCTCAAGGTTACCATCACCTGCTGTTCCCTTGTTTCACACTTGTGCAGCTGTACGTGGTGTATGAGACTTCAGGCATTGGTCTTGAGTGCTGTGGAACCTTTTCTTCTGGCACTGTTGACTTCAGTGTTTGGTTGTTGCTTTTGTTTCAAGGCAGAAAGAGAGTATCAAAAGATTGGGGGTATTTTTAAGTTGTGAAAAAGTGTAAGTAAATTGCGGCAACCAGAAATGAAAAACAAATGCCCTTCTCAACAGCTTTCAAACCATTTCAGACAATCCACGTGTCAGTTTACTGTCACTTCACAACATTAGGTTGTAACTTCCCAGAACTGTGTGTTTCATGCTTGAAGTGTTGTCTTGTGGCTCTTCACTGTATGGATCTGCAGGTGTGGCAGTCATTTCAAATTTGCCTTCAGCCTTATTTGTGCTAGTGAAGGGCATTTATAATATTAAGCCTACAAAAGCAGTAGTTAGGAGATTACCATAATATTGATTTTGTTGGTTTTGGAGTTATAATTTTGCTAGCTGTCATGAAAAGCTACTGCCATGAAAAGGCCACCACCATGTTAAAAATTCTGCCAAATGGAACAAATATAGGGAAATAAACATTTGTTCCAAGTGGAACTTACCATAACTTATATGGAAGTAAACAGGCATCATCTTAGTCGTATGTTCCAATCAAGGCTATGACCACTGGCGTGGCCTTAGGTAACAACTTCTGTGGATGCTTTCACCAAGAATAAGCCTGAAGTTATTTTACAGTGTTCTGATGCAGTATGGATGTCTTTGTATTGACTAATCCTGTTACTAGGAGGAAAGTTGATTTATGTTTCAGGGTACAGTGCTGTTGAGGATTGTTGCAGTCATGGTCAAATGTAAAGGGGCTACTGGGACTTGTTAATATTTGTGGTGATTGTTTTTTGTTTACTTTTTTAGATGTTCATGAGTTTACATATGAACTGTATTGTGTTTGCATAAGCTTGCTAGCTGTGTTGTTCTTGAGTTAATTTCCTGTCAAGTGGAGTCTGCTGGAAACTCTCCCCATTCAAGTGACTGGAGGATGGGATACTCTTCAGGAAGGGGCTCCATCTCTGGCAAATGCTTACTGAAACTTCAGAAAGTAGTGCAAAAAAAAAACCCAACCCTATAATCGAGTTGACTGGTAACGATGCTTTTCCTGGTATGCAGTATGATTCATAGAAGTAGAAATTGTGCTTCTGACAGTTTGGCTTAAAAAACAAATGTAATGAGTAGTGACAAAATATCCAAATACATGAAAACAAAACACTTAATGCATTCCAAATCTCTAAAGGAATTAAATAGTAAATTTATATGTGCCTTCTCAAAGAGTAGAGCTAGCAATAACACTTTTAAGCAAGCTTAGAAAAGAAAAGCCTAAAACCTCCAGTAGCAACACTTCTGCCATCCTGAGTGTAGACCTAGAGCAGAGAGAAATGCTATTGCTATCAAAATGCGTGGCATCGTCAGCTTTCTCTCTTCCTGTAGAATCTGCATAAGCATGTGATGTGAACAAGGAAAAAAATGCCCTTTTTTGACTGATGATAAATTGTATGTCATGAATCACTGTCTAAATAAGATGGCTTGAAAAGAAAAATAGAAATTTGATGTGTTTTCTATGATTCTGGGTATTCATTGATTAAATTAAAAGATCCATCTGTACCTAAATATAATCATAGTCAAGACTTTAGTGGAGGAGGAGAAAGCTGAGTTGTCAGATGGAGTGACAGTATTTTTCTGGATCTGCAACTGTCTTGTGCATCTGCCCCATCTAGTAAAGGCTGCTTGAGAAAGGAGGGAATCGCTCTAGATGCTACTCTTGCAGTCTCAGTTTGTGTGTGCTATGTAAATGGCAATATGTTGACATTACAGAATTTTATACCAAGTTTCGTGTTGTCTTGCAATATCTTCTTACGCTTTTAGATGTGGAGGATGAAAAGCTATTTCTAAGCATGTGGTTATAGCTTGATTTTTAAAAAAACAAAACAAAACCAAACCAAAACAAAATCCAACTCACAGAGCTTGTGGCTTTTCCGGTTGTATTCATTTAAACTCAGACAGAAGCAGTGTTTTGGGCTGTATTGTACAGTGATATTTTGACAGCTTCCAGACTAACCAAATAGTAAAAAGACTATCCATTGATGCAGGCTTGTTTTGCACTAGGAAGGATTGTAAGTGTGCATAGAAGCTCTGGGATTCTTCAGATATTGGATAACTTGCAAGAAAGTTTAATGCAGCTCTCCAAAAATGTTGAGGTACTCTTATTTACATATCTGGCATTCTCCTGTACCTTCCCCCTTTCCTTTATGTGAAAGGCCTTTGTTAAGTGAGGTGTTTGAGGACGGTGGGTTTAGTGGTGGTCTCTGCAGCAGCTGCTGTTGAAGGTAAAGGAGGTGAGGCACCAGCAAAGGTAGGGATCTGAAGCCGTTGAGATGAGGGATCCAGCTGGCATTTTGTATTTGTGACCCTGATGAAACGTCTGGATTGTCCAGAGCCTAGCCCTTAGGGGGCCAGGGAGGAGGAGGAGGAGGCATTGGCAGCTGAATGGTTTCCAAATGCAGGGAAGATGGGACTGTGATGTGGAATCTGACTGATTCTCCTTCGGGTGATTTTCATTTGAAAGCTTCAGTAAAAATACTCCTTGTTTGTAACTGTTTAATTGTTTGTCGTTATAGCTGATGGGGTAGGAGAAAGGTGGTAGGAGTTGAACTGTGGTGGGCTGACTTTGCTGTAGGTTTGAAAGGAAAACAAAAAAGCAAGGAAACAAGGTAGAAGAGTCTTTTTTTTTTTTTCTCTTTCCTTTTTTTTTTTTCTTTCCTACTGAAATCTCCCTACTTGGCCATAAGCTGGTTTGATTAAAACCATGCATTTTAATGCCTTTGGACAGACCCTTGACAGAGGGACAGCTTCAAATGTCTGAGTGGCCTTGGCTTTCATTGGAGACCACTGTCCTCTGACCAAGGAGGATGGTCTTGATATAGGCAGGTGAACTGGTATTAATCAGACTTCAGTTCCCATTGCAGGTTTTCTCTAAACCATATCTTCACCTGTAAGTATGTGCCTAAATGTTCAGAAAGTGAAAATGAATAGAGGCAGCCAAGTGTGATAGTGGTGATGAATCTTGCAGGTTGAAGAACTGCTTAAAGAAATTACTGTTAAAGTAGTCCCAGAGTGTGTGTGTGTGGTGTGTCTGTCTTTTTAATGTCCAAAATATCTTTTTGACTCAAATGATGAACTGCTTTGCAATTTGCATCTTGTATACACATAGTGTTTCGATGTGGCTGCCTAGTGAAGTTTTTCTCTTGACTTTAGCAATAGTTTTCTTTCATGCAGAGTAAAGTTGATGTACGCTTAGCTCTTACATTTATCAGCAGCTGTTCCTTGGAGTAAGAAACTAAATATTACGTTATCTTATCGGTGTGGTCTAGTTATTTCTTCCACAGGAGCATAGGAAAGCCATAATATTGCTTAATTTCTAACAGTCTGGATGTTTTTCTCCAACAGGAACTGTTCTTATCAGAAGCAGTAATGGCCAACTAATGCTAGTATCTCAACAAGCAATAACACGAGCACAGAGTCAGCCACAAAATAACACAAGCGTGAGGCCATCTGTACCGACCAGCACACCTGCCATCAGAATATGTCCTGTACAGGTAACTTCTCTCATAGCTTTACTTTGACGTAGCTGTATTTTATGTGGTTATAACAGGGTTTGCAAATAAGTTATGGAGGGTTAAATAAGCATTTGAACGCTTTCTGAACAGCATGATGGTGTTTGGTTTTGCACATAAACATCACTGTGCTTTGCTTTGAAAAAACTGCTAGCCATTACATATAGTATAGTTCAAATTAAGGAATTCCTCTGTGATGATGATGATGATGATGCCCTTTGAGAAGGGCAACGAAGCTGGTGAAGGGTCTAGAGAACAAGTCTTATGAGGAGCGGCTGAGGGAACTGGGACTGTTTAGTCTGGAGAAGAGGAGGCTGAGGGGAGACCTCATCACGTTCTACAACTACCTGAAAGGAGGTTGTAGCGAGGTGGAGGTTGGTCTCTTCTCCCAAGTAACCAGCGATAGGACGAGAGGAAATGGCCTCAAGTTGTGCCAGGGGAGGTTTAGACTGGACATTAGGAAAAGCTTCTTTACTGAAAGAGTGGTCAGGCCTTGGAAGAGGCTGCCCAGGGAAGTGGTGGAGTCACCATCCCTGGAAGTATTTAAAAGACGTGTAGATGAGGCGCTTAGGGACATGGTGGTGTTGGGTTGACGGTTGGACTCGATGATCTTAGAGGTCTTTTTCAACCTTAATGATTCTATGATTCTATGTAAAGGGTTTTAAGAAAAAAAAAAAAACAACAAAAAAACCCAAAAAACAAAAAAAACCAACCCAAACCCGAAAAACCTACCTAAATGGTTACTGCTGGTAACTGCAACCTTGTGATCCTCTGGTGGGATACTTCTCTGAAGCTGAGTGAAGCATGTCCCCAGGATGTTCCTTCTTCCCTGAGCTCTGCTGGCTTTTTGCTTCTGTCTCTTGTAGTGTAGTCAGCATGCAAGAGGAGGAGCGGGTATAAAAAAAGTAACATCTGCATAGGTCTCGCCAACATGCTTATCCTTTAACTGTTTTGTTCTGATTAGGCATTGTGTCTAAATGTCTCTGAATCTGTTCTTGAGTATTAAACTGGTAGACAAATAGCTTTGTTGAACAGTGTTTAAACTATATGGGCGATGTGGATGATGCCTGTATCATTACTGTAAGAGCGGATGTCTTGGTTTATATTGGACAAGAGCAGGCACTAACTTCAGTGTCTGTTTTGTCATTGACTTGTCTGACAACTGTTCTCTGCCTGTTTAATTACTTTTTTTTTTTTTTTTAAGAACTCTGGCACCCAGTTACTAAAGAAAGTAGCAGCTACTCCTGTGAAACCATTATCTCAAACAACAAATGCTGTGGCTTCTACTGTACAGCCATCTTCTGTAATACAGGTAGGTGACAAGCTTTATAGTGCAGTGGAATAAGTGACAGAGAACTGAAGAAAATATGGATGCATTCTTATTATTTCTAACTCTCATATGGTTTTCACTGAGCTGGTAACTTTTGTTGTCATGATAAATTCTTTCCTGAATGTCTTTTTTTTTGAATGCGTAATTTAATTATGCTTCTGCCAGTGTGTGTCAGCTCATCTTCTCTCACTACAGTAGAAAGCACATGAACAATGGATAAAATAAATAGTTCAGAGAGCCGTTTCCAGTGCTTTTGTACCCTATGATACAGCTCCTTCAAACTCTAGCTGATGCTTTTCTGGGAAATGGAGACTTCCTAATGCTGTCTCCTGTTTGGGTTCCCTGGTTCCTTAGGGGGGAAAAAGTATACCTGGGATGTTGTTGAGGAGAAAATGAGCTGTCTGCACTAGTCAAGCTGTCTTTCAGGTCTACCTTTTTTTTCCCCTCATTAAAAGCTGAAGGAAGGTCATAGCTGAAGACCTGTTCTCTAATTGAATTTGGTAGACAGGTTCCACAGATATGACTATAAGTAGGCAGTGGCTGGAAATGCCTCATTATTTTTAGGTAGTGTTTTTTGTCTTATTTCCTAGGTCTTATTTCTCTTTTTCCAGAGAAAAATGTTGTAGGACTCTTCTGAAGAGGCTCTTGCTACCTGTAGAGTGTGAGACTTCTCCTAGATACAGTTCTTCCTCTGTTCTTGGGGACCACAGTTCTGGATAAGCACATGTAATGAAAAGAAAACTGCTTCTTTCTACAGCTAAAATATTCTGTTCTCCTCATAACCTGGAGGAGAAATTGGGAAGAAGTCTGGCTTGTATGTACCTTTTCTTTTGTGAACAAGAGGTTGAAGGAGACTGGGCTGTAGTGGTTGACCAAGCACTCAGTAAATGGGCAGGATCAGTCATTCAAAAAGCCATGCTGGATGTATGTTCTTGACCTTTGCTTAGGGACATGGTTTAGTGGGCATGGTAGCGTTGGGTTGATGGTTGGACTTGATGATCTTAGAGGTCTTTTCCAACCTCAATGATTCTATGATTCTATTCTATGACCTTGAGGGTGTTTGAAGGATTGGGGGATATGTTTGCTGACAGCAGTAACTAACAGTCTGACTTAAAAATTCATCCTCCTGCTGTTCTTCTATATCAGCAACTGAAAACTACCCACAGCTCTGTCTGTCATCTTTTTTCTCTTCCTTCTCACTACAGATGGATAATGTTGGGGCTAAAGGGGAAAACCCAGAGGCCTCTCTTAATACATTTTCCATTTTGCTTTGGATGGAAACAACATACGATTTGTGTCTAAGAACAGTAATGGGATTCCTTACCTACTTTTATTTTGGAATACTAGCTTGCAAACCATGTGCTTGTGATCTCTGCATAGAGATCTTTAGGATATAAAAGCAGTAGTCATCTACTATACTACCCTTGCACTGGGGAGAAGAGGTGAAGGTAAAGATTTCTTCCATCTGATGGATGAAGCTGCCTGCATCATCACACTCTCGTGGATAAACATTGTGGATAAACATGCTATTAACTTTTCCTTTTTAAACTTACGTCTGCCTTTGACTTGGTTCTTCGGTACTTTCTTAGTTCAGTTTTGATGTAATCAATTTAACTTGTGTTGTTCTGAGGTATTTAAAGAGGTAGACATGGAGTATTTTTTTGTAAGCTGTATTTTTTTCAGTTGTAGAAACTTGAACACTTCTAATGAGCGTAGGGCTGGATTTAAGCAGCAGGAACGATAACTCTAGGAAAAATTAATAGTGCCATTCTGTTTAGAGTGGCTTCCTTGGAGCCTCTCTGTTTTGCAGAGGATTGCAAAGCCCTCTGTACAAGCTCCTCGTACAATAAAGAGTAAATAGGTGCAATATGAATACATCTTGCCATCACAGAGCCACTTCACTCCTCACCCTGGTGCAGACAAGAGAAGACTGCCGACGAGAGAGTCGGTGCATAAGGTTGCAGGTGCGTAAGGTTGCAGGAGAACCATCTGGGGAAAGAAAGAAATAGTCCTTGGGTCTGATTTCCTTGGCAGCGGTTCATTCATCAGTCATGAAAGAACTTGCTGATGTTAGTCTTGACAGTTTCTTGAGGTCACAGGAGAGGAGTGTTGGTGTGGAAGTATGATGTCATCACAAAAAGTGGGAGACAGTGGAGAGGAAATAATCCTTGGCTTGGTTGTGTATCTCCTATCCTGTGCTAAGTACAACTTGGAACGCTACTGTCTGCAAAACTCTCTCTAGTTACTGCCTCCAGGATTATTCTCCTCATCTACAAAAATATTTCCATTTTTTGACATTCCTCAATGTTTAAGCTCTGAGGTTAGACAAAATACCTGCACGTTTTTTTTTCTACCTTCTTCCCAGATGAGGTAACGAAGCTGCAAAGTATCTAATTAGCATCATGCTGGGGCACTTTCATTTAGATGCAGAACACTTCTTCTCTTGAAATGACTTCAAAATATGCAGGATTAATGCCATTTTTTGTGGCGACTGTTTCTCTGTTGCTTGAAGTGAGAATGAGAATTGTCAGTAGTGAAAAAGGTTGAGGGCAGATGACAGAAGTTAATTCCCATATATTCATCTTCCTGGGAAAAGGGTCCAGCAGACTTCCTGATGTTCCCTCCCTCAGCTGATAAAATGCCGTTCTGGTTTCGATGTGTAAACACGCTGGAATTTGCAAGAGATCAGCTCCCGCGAACCTCATGTTTTCGGCTTTTAAAAGCCCAGGGCACTGCAGCTTGACAGATCTGTACTCTGTCCCCTTCCGTCTTCCTCCCGTCCATCTGTTTGTGGGATTCTCATGCCCAGTTTGCCTCCCTGTGGTCTTAGAGCTGTTGAGCTTCAGCCTTGGAAGAGGCAGTGGTGGTGGCAAAGATCCTGCAGAGAGCTATTAAAGTGTTACCAACAGTGGGAACCAAAGCTGGAAAGCTTTCTGGTAGCTGCCTGCTTCTTTCATGTCAAACTGGTGGCAGCTTGGGGCGGGGGGAGAACCCGCCCAGGAAAAAAAAAATTATAAATAAACAACAAAAGTGTGAGCGTTTTGCTTTAGCTTTAAATGTTTGCTCACTAATTTTCCCTATCCTGAAAGACTTAAAAGCCCTTTGATATTCTACATGATGCGTGTCCAACTCTGATTAGTTTTTGTTTTATCCATCGTAGGGTAAGTTGGGCTCTTGTGCTACTGTCTTATCATTAATGCAATTAGCAAGTATTAATTTGTGATTGCTGGAATAAACTGTGGTGTTTAAGTGTGTTAAGAGTCAGTGAAAACAATTGTGTTGCACAGATCTGAATCTAGAATTTGGCCTACAAAATCAGACTTTCCCTTTCTCCTGAGAGGTTTGGAGGAAAAATGACACCCAACTTCAGTTTCAAATGCTAACCTGAAACTCTTGCTTTTTTGTAACCTGCAGGTTCAATCTGGCTTTTCAGTTTTCAAGTTGAGAAATCAAAAGTAGTGGTTTTTGTAGAGGCAAAGTCTTTTACTCATACTGTATTCTGTTGTAGCAGAATGATTTTTTGTGTGGTGTGGGGGTTTTTTTCCCCTTTCGTTTTTTAAAATCTGAGGTAGAAATACTTCAGTTAGTAGGTTTTCCTCTGGAAACCTATTTAGCCTAGTTTGCAAAGGAGAGAGGCAATTGTGTTCTTATTTTTTCCTAAACCTTCATTACTTTCCTGTTGCTGGAGCTTCTGAATCTGTTGGTAAGTTCTAATGAGATTTTTAAGAGGTCTCAAAATAACTGAATTTTGTGAGGTTTTGTGTCTGGGCAGAGGAGAGAGATCTCCAAATTGCTTCCCACAAGGAAAAGGCAGGAAGAACTTTTTAGGTGCATTTGTTCAGCTGGCTGCTTCTGCTGGCACATGCATTCTTCCAAAGTGGACATGATATCTTTTGCCTACTGCACGTGTGATAGGAAGAGTAAGGGATATTGCAATTGGGAGAGGAGCTGCAGGGGAAGAAAGAAAGATAAATAATCACTTAAGGTCATATTTATCTTCAGTGTACTATCGCCTGGCCCAGCATTGTCCAAAATTCTTAGGTCTTAGCCTGTAGGAGCCTGGCAAAGTTAGTATATTGGTTTCTTCAAGACAACTTTACCTTTCTCTCTTCACTTGAAGTTGCAGGCAGTGCTTCAGTCTGGGTAAGTGTTTGTCAGTTCTTCCCTCTGCCCTTGATTTAAAAACAGAATTAAGGCTGTGGGGTTCTGTTACTTACTGTATTAAATAGAGCCTCTCAAAGCAAATGAATCCAAACTTTAAAAACAAAGATAAAAATCATTTATTTATGTTTTAAATAATAGTGTGGAGGGAGGGTGCCACCTTATACGCTAGCAGAATACAGTATGTTTGTCATGTTAGTCTTTGGTTAAAAAGTGTTAATTTTTCTTTTCAGCCAGCAGCTGCAACAGCTAGTGTTACTGCAGTTCCTGCTGTAAAGCCTTCGAGTACTGGAACACCTGTAAAACTTCCAGTTACAGGACCACCTGCACAAGCTATCTCCCAAAAGGCAGTCTCTGTGAAAGCAGAGGGCACAACAGTAGCACAGACGAGCGCTTCTACAGTAAGGGGAAAAAAAAGTTTTTAATTAAAAATTAACATTCTCTATATTCATCAGAGGTTGGAGAGCCAGTGCAACATCTAACAGTCTTCTCTTTATTTCCACACTAGGAGATGCTAGAGAATGTGAAGAAATGCAAGAATTTTCTTGCTACACTAATAAAATTGGCATCTAGTGGACCTCAAGCCCCTGAGATGGGGCAGAATGTGAAGAATCTGGTGCAAAATCTATTGGTGAGACTTTTTTTTAAACCAAGTCTGCATCATTTGTGTATTGTTTTTAACGTTGATTTCATAATAGTATTGCTCCTTGTCTCTTTTTTTTTTTTTTAAACAGCTGAAGAGTTAGATTTGTGGCTGGGTACATCTGACTCTCTTTAAGTCTTACATTATAAGTCTTATTTTAACTGGATACCATGCTATATTTTTTCCCCCTCACATTCCTGTTTCATTTTATGCACACAGGTAACTGACAGCAGGAGGAGCTGGTAGTGTTAACACAGTTTCTGGGTCTGAGCTGCTTTTTTTCATGTTAGTGTAGTTTTGAGTCCTCAATGGCAAGAGTATTACCGTGGAAGTTGTAGTGCAGTGCTAAGTCCGTACTACTGCTTTACTCCAAGGCAGAACTGACTGACAGGTTGATAGTGAAGCTCCAGTGGAACAAGCATGACATTATCTATGTCTTTAGACAATGGGATAGAGAAAATAACGTGGTGGCTGCCAACCTCTCTCTCCTTGCAGGTGGCTTCCGTATGCTGCTTCGTGCTGTACCCCAGCACAGCTGGGTTTTCTTGGTAACGATTTCTCCTGCCACTTCTTGTCTTGGCATTTGACCGCTGCTGCTGTTTTGTTGTTCCACCGTAGCAGAAGGCTGTGGGCTGCTGGAGGGGGATGGCTTTGCTAGTGGTACCAAAGGACTTTTCAGTCTAGAAAAGCGTGGTGTGGACAGAGGTATAATTTCAGAGAGCAGATTGTTTGAAGATGCAGCCTTGCAAAAATTTGATTCCTTTGCCTCTGTGTCCCTGCTGGACTATAACCTTGCTTCTGTAGGAAAATACTAGAGTTGTTCCTTCTTGTGCTTACAGTACTATTATTTATTATTTTTTTAAGAACAGTTGTTACCAGACATGAATACATCGTTAACTGTGCACTTGTGGTATTTTAAAAATGTTGTTCTTCTGCCATTCAGTATATGTATATTATTTAAATGCAAGATAAATTAATGTTTCATATGTATGAGGGAAATGAGTAAATGACAGCTGTGAAGTAAAATGGTTCTTAAGGCAGCATCTCATGAAGTGGGTGTCAAGCGCCTTGTATGCACTGAGATGTAGTATACCAAATCACTGCATCTGTATCGGTGAGACCTCGGTGATCGGTATCCACAGATCAGTGAGACCAAACAGGCAGCAGATCAAATGACTAAATAGGAGAGCTGCTGTAAGTTCTGTTTGTCTGTGAATATACAATCCTTAAAACCCCAGCTCTGGTCATGTAGCTGCTTGGAACTGTTGTTCTGAAGGAGAATATGGGTGAGAGGAGTAACTTCTCTGCGGAGACAGAGATTGGTGCTGGGGTCCCTCTTCCTTGTGTGTCTGTACCTTCCTGGAGGAGGTAATGTTCTTAGTGACTCTGTGGCAGGGTCTTACCTGGGAGGGTGAGAAAGGGCAGCAGCGTCTGGGGCTACCCACCATCTTAGCCCCATCATGGTGGCACTGTAGTAGTGAGTGAGGGGTCTCGGAAGTCTGCTGCAGCTTCCTAACCCTTCCAAGCCCTTGAGTTAGGTGTTTCTGTTGGGGCAGAGTGGAAAGCATTAAGAAAGGAGACTGTACTCTGCAAGGCAGATGACTATTACCGTAGTGGTATGTAGAAGTGATGTTCTGATGTTCAGTTTCTCCTGCTTTTCAAAGATGATGTTAAGGGTTCTGCTTTGTTATGCTATGTATGCATTAGACTAGAATTGTCTTACAAAAACTACTGAGTTGTCTTTTGTCTCCGGTCTTTTTAAATTGATCTTTATGCAGATAAACTACCTGTACAGGAAAAAAGTACTGGTAGTGGATTTAAAATATCTCTGCATAACAATGAGGTACTCAAAAGGATCAGTGCTACTTATAAACTTGTTTCTATCGGTTCACTTCAATGAGTGGGTGTTTGAACAAGTATCCTTAAGTGTGTTAACTGCCTGTAGTTGAAGAAAGTAATTTAATTTGATAATACTACATCTAAATTACAACATCATTCTATCCTAAAAATCTTCTGTTTAAAAATACAGGAAGAAAAAAGCATTTGAGTACTGAAATTGAACAATTCCATGATAATGTAAATTTCCATGGATTTTTTTATACATCTGGGAAAAAATATGGTAGATTCATAGTTATAACTTACCATTGTAATTATACTTTCCTCTTAGGAAGCAAAAATTGAACCAGAAGAATTTACAAAAAAGCTATACATAGAGCTCAAGTCATCTCCGCAACCGTATTTAGTTCCTTTTCTCAAGGTAAGTGTCTGATTGTGGATATATAGTATTTAATGAGGGAAGGGAGGAGGACCAGAAAAGAAAAGGAAAGAGGCTGAGCATTCAAATAGGTTTTTGCTCAAGTCAGTTGAGGTTGATGATGCTTAACCTAGCCTTGTGTGACTGTTGCTCTTGGAAGGACAATTTTTTTGGGGAGGGAGGATTTCAGAAGAGTAATTTACGCTGTGTTCTTAAATTGGAGAGTAATTACCCTCTAGTCGTTAGTGGAGACTAATGTTTTGGAAGCTGGTACATCTACAGTAGAGCAGCTATACTAAGATATAATTACTTACTTTCTCATCAAAACTGTAGCTATTCTGAGTTCTAATACAGAAGACTGACAACAGTGGCTGTGCACAGCTTATGTAGTATTTAAGCTCAAAGAATCTACATAAAGCTATTCATCTGTCTGCTGGTTTGTGTTTAACTGGATGCAGAAAAAAACCCCACCCCTTTCTCCAGAAAGGGTCTGACAGGACTACTGCAACTTAGGAAAAAGTAACCCAGGGCAATTCTACCTCCATTCAAGCAAATAATCACATAAATGAAAAAATGCTCTCTTAACACTTTTAATCGTATGGCGGAATGGTATTAACAAAATAAAAATGAACATCTTCGTTGTACAGCAAGCGTTAAATCCCAGTGAAAACATGGAAAACTTGGTTACATTTACTTAATTGCAATGTACACGGTATTCTTAGGCTTGATAGATCTGTACTTTTCCTTGGCATTCATTATAGGCATGGTGGAGAATCAAGTAAGAATGGTTAAGTGGTAAAGTTGGGACAGAGGTTTTCTGGAATTTCTCCTCTTCCTTAGTATTTGACAGCACATACAACAATCCATGTGATAATATTGATATTACTTTAGATGGCTGGTTAATCTGTTCAAGTGTGGGATGAATTTTTTTTTTACAGTGACAGCCTTTAAATGCTTTGCTAGCAAGTTTGCCATGAATCTAGAAGACTAGTCACCTCTGCAGAGCTTGGTCACTTATTTATTCTCTGTTTAGTTCCCTGGAGGCTTCTTAAGTGCCCATGCAAAAGCTAGAAAAACTAACAGCTCAGCGTATGGGTTTTCCTGCATCTAGTGCAGCTCTGACTGCAGAAGGACCGGGCTGTGAGTGCAGGGTCAGTGTGACTGGCAGAGGTTTCCTATGAGCTGCGCAGAGTCTCAGCAGAGCTCTACTAACTGCCAGGGCAAGTTTGGCATCAGAAGTAGCGTAGCTGCCTTCTGCATGGCCCTGGCTGATGAACCCCACTGGATGTAGGCTGGCTGCATGTGCGTGGGGCCAGCTCAGGTGCTGTTGTGCTGTGTTCCCAAAACAGCGCAGGTGAACCTCAGTAGCTCCACACAGACCCAACCTAAGTCTGGCACAGGTAGACGTCATCAAGGGCTGGTGAGTCCTGACAGCCCTGGACTTGTTCATGCAGAGGAGCTGAGCCAGAGGGTGGCTGTGCAGCACTTGCTAACGCTTCTACCCCTCTGGGTCCCTCAAGGGTTTATTAGCTCAGGCACAGAATTGTCCTCATGCACTTGCAGAAGTGCTTGGCCTGAGTTAATAAGCCATCCCACAACGTGGAGAGCTGCTACATATGGTGCACAGAGGCAGTTCCACAGGAGTTCAGCTGGGTTCATCAGCGTGGGTCAGACCCTGACCCATCACAGCAGAGCCGATGCATGTTTCTCCTGTGGCATGCTGCCAGGTATGGGTATCATCTAGGCTTTTCTGTTTTGGGCAGTATCCATACTCCATAATCCTTGACAAGCTGCTCTCTCCCTGTTGCATGCTATATTGATGAAATACTGTGACTTCAGAAACGTTGTTTACTTTTTCATGGTCAAAGTTAGCTGACTTTGTAGTGTTACTCATCCTTTAAAACTTCTTGCACCCTGATTGCTTTTTTCCAAAATACCTTAAGGATGCGTAGCTGATACACACCAGTTAGGTCTGGTCTGTAACTCTGAGCAGCTGTGACAGGAGTGAGTGCCAAATGGAAGGTGACTTCAGGAGCACTTCTCTAAGGTGCTACGAGGAACTGTGCTGGCCTTGTTTGTGGGGGAAACGCTTGCAGCTGGAGTCTGGAAAGAAATGTGATAGGGCTTATTGCCAATTCACTGTTAGCTAGTGAAGTGGAATTTTAGGGAGGATTCTCTGGAGTTGTCTCTTATCTTTGAGCTACAGGTTTTTGATGAAGTTGTTGCATGTGTTTTGTTTTGTCTGTTCCAATAGGTGGAAAAGTACAGTAACTTTGGCTGAAAAGCCTGCTTGATTTTTCAAATCTGTGCTGGATGCTTTTGGTAAATAAATTGCATCAGGAGCATGAGGAAAGCTGAGCAGCCTTTTAAAAGAAAAGGAAGTGAACATTAAAGATAGGTGTGCCACAGAAGGTCTAGATGTCCAAACAATTTGTTCACTTGGTATATTAGCATGTGAGACAACATGTTCCTTTTGCATGAAGCCCAGAGCAACAGCACTGTGCTGGAGACTCTTACAGGCTTTAAAAACTGTTGGGGGGGGGAAGGTTTGTGAGAATATACAGGTAGCTGTAGAACTGATTTCCCCTGGTTCTGAGCCATAACAGATTGTAAATAGTCAAGGAGAAAAATCTGTAGAGGGCTTGAAGATTATTCTGTCCATTAACCTTCTCAAACATAGCTGTAGTAAAAATGAGATGTTGCCAGATACCTTTACTAATGTTCTCTTGTTGCACAGAACTGTCTGGCTTAAGTTGTGCTGCTGCAGCTATACAGGCATTATTAAAGTGATATCCCCCCCTAGTGTAGATACAGCTGTATTGGTATGGAAGTGCTCATATCTTCAGAGTTTGTTTCTGACTTTATTGGATAATTTGTAGTTCTCTGTCAGACAGGCTCCATGGAATAAACACAGCTGTTGCACTATAGGAGGGGTTTTTGGCAAAACAAAATTTTTTGAGGTAGTAAACCAGTTAAAATGGTCTTTTTCTAGAGCACAAATTTCAAATTGAAAAATCTAAACAAAAGAACAACGTTATGGGTGAGTTTCCCTATAGATGGGATTTGCTACATGCAATGAAGCTGTGGTGACTGTTGACCTTTGCTCAGCCTGTCTTGGTGATTCTTGTGGTCTTCACTGAGCAGTATCGTCATCAATTTAAGGATGCCTGAATTCTAGCAAAACTTGTTTGGAATAAGCAATTTATTGTCCTATGAAAAATTAAATTGGAAGGTGAGGAAGAAGATTCAGTTGCTAATGTATCAGTATTGTGGAAGACTCTGCTGATGTTACATCCCGTGTTTTTTCGTTTTTCTTCTAGAAAAGCATGCTTGCCTTACGGCAGCTAATGCCCAATGCTCAGAGCTTTATCCAGCAGTGTATGCAGCAGCCAGCTCCAACCCAAGAAGCTGTTTCGACTTGTACCTCTGCAGCACCAACTCCTTCAATAGCAGTGGCAACCTCAGCTGTAGCAACAACTTCTCTTCCAGTTATAAAACCAGTGTCTGCCTCTGTAACAGTCACAGCCTCTCCGGTTATAAAACCAGTCCTTGTCAGTGCATCAGCGACAGCTTCTCTGCAGACAGTGAAGCCTGTTCCTGCTTCTGCAGTGGTGACAGCATCTCTTCGGCCTGCAGCTTCAGTCCTTACCACAACGATAGCAACATCAGGGCTGACTGCTATCCAAACTGTCAAGCCAGTCTTCACCTCTGCGGTAGCAACATCCTCTCTCCAGTCTGCAAAGCCAGTACTGGTCTCTACAGCGGCATCTTCAGCAACAACCCCTCTCCAGCCACTGAAACCAGTCATTGGAACCCCAATCAGTATTAAAATCTCACAGCCAAACTCCATCGTTGCACAGTCAGTGGGTGCTCAGCAGGTGGTTAAAGTGAAACAGTTGGTAAGATGAATTTCTCTGCTTCTCTGTAACTGGGGTTCTTTGCTTTCGCTCTTACCGTTTTGTCAAGAGGATACCAATTTGGATCTTAGCGGGAGTTTTTAGCATACGAAGCTAGTCTGTCATGAGTTAATCAGTTATGTTTGTCACAGGGATATTGAGCTGTTGCTGAAAAGGTGAATCTAAAGCCAAACTGTAAGCTCGGTCTCTTGCAAGACGTGCTGACCACCGTTCCACCAGACTAAACCTCCAGCTTGAGACACAAGGGAATATGAGTTCTGACCTCTGCAAGGAAAGAAAAGGCTGGAAATGCTTGTTCTAGGAACAGAAATTGCTGATTGGATGCTTATGTTAATTACTATTAGATGCCCTGTGCTCCAGCTAGCCACCAGAGATTCCAGTCTTTAGCTTAGTAGTTCCTACCCTGGATACTTTGCGGGCACAGGTGGCTTGATGACGTTTAGCAATATGTTAACTGAAATATATGAACTAGCTCAAGGAGCTTTTCAGAGCAGGGTTCTGATCTCCAAATTTACTAAGACATGTTAATTATGAAGTCATCCAAAAGTGAGCTTTTTCTATCAGGCCTTATTAGCTAAAAAATTCCAGGAGGAATAAATGTCTTATTAAAACAAGACCCTCAAAAGCAATGTGTTAACAGTTTTTTCTTGGCACAGGTTAACTTCTTGCTAATGTTAATGTTAAATACCAACAAACTATGGATCACAGGTATACCCAAAAGAGCAATGTTGTGAAATACATTAGGTTTGGTTTCTGGGTGTTAGAGATGCTGAGTAGTATGCTGTCTGACTGGTCTACCCACAAGTAATGTTCTCAAGTATTTTGAGAGAATAGTCTCTCTTTGGCAGGTGAAGAACTTGATTCTTGAATAGGACTTCCTTGTAAAGATTTGTTCCTGAAAAAGAGGAAAAAACATTAGACTTCCCGTGAAGCTAGATTTACTTTCCACAGGTATAGTAGGGCATCTAGTGTGTGAATTTCCTTTGTAGTTTCTTTATTGTGTATACTTTATTTAAGAGCATTCAGAGCCCTAAAATGTTTTGCTTTTTCAATTTTCTTCCTTTCAAAGTGCATAAGGTGGATGTAATACAAGAATCCTGCACTCTAAATAAAGAGCTTATGCTACCAGCTTTTCACCTTTTCGGACTTTCTTAAAAAGAACAAAGCACTCAAGTATTTGGAGGGGATGGGGGGTCCTTTTTATGAGTGGTTTGTTTTAAAAACAGTTATCAAGCATATGCACTAACAGTCTTCGATAGTAGTAGCTAAAGCCAAATTGGAAAAGGAGTTGGTACCCTTACTGTCTTTGAGGACTAAATTTGAAATTCCAGCCAGAAGAAAATGAGGGCTTCTTGGGTTGTACAAGGGCTGGAGAGCAGTTTGTTGGCTACACAGCAAGCCATGTAATCCAGGGGAAAGGTTGACCATCTGTACAAATAGACAAGGAAGCTTAACTTGACACTGGGGAGTCGAAACACTTCTTGAATATGATATTGGTGAACTCAAGGAATGACTTCTGCCTCCTCCACTACTGCAGTGTGGCAGCCTATTGCAATTGCTTTTCTTCGCAGTGCCTTGCAAGCATTGAATTGCATACAAAACATGTTTTTATCCTCATTTGGGTAGATCCCAGGCACAGTGATTAAAATACTTGCTCTTCAAAATACTTACTCAATTTTGGTCTTGGGTGTAGTTGAGGGGCTGAGTTGACCACTTCACAGCTTAGCCTTATCAGGAGCTTGGTGTTTGTTCAGGCAACCTATTAGCACAAAGAGCAAGTTTGTAGCAGTGGCTGCATCTTCTAGGGCTTCCCTGGTGTGTTTCCTTGAAAGGACAGAGGGTCTGTTTCCTCCCACAAGAAAACAAATCTGGACCTCCCCTCCCTAAACAGAAGGGTCCTGCTGCCAGCTGAAAGGAAGCACGTGCCAGCTGTGCAAATCTGTCCATACAATGCTGCCAGCAATTTCTTTCCCTTTCCAGCCCTCAGCGTTGTTTGATGCCATGCACTCCCTCTGCATGCCCATTTCTAATTTAGGTTTCTCGTGCTTGAGGAATGTAAAGCGAACTTTCATGTGCCAGCTCCAATGTAACATTGGTGGTGCTTGAGTGCAGCACTGCAGTATTTTAATGTCAAAATTGTGACTGGAGTGATGCAACATGTAACTGTCTTTTCTGTGGCATGATTATCGAAACTCTGGGTTTATATGGTAGACATTGAGGGACCTCTTCTTCAGGGATGCTGTTGGGGTTGATCGCATGCCTGCGCCAAGTTGCACATTGAAAGGGGTTCCCTCCCACTGGCTTTCTTAACACAGCCTCAGTTAAGGGCATCGCCGTACATAGAAGTTTCATCTTGGAAAGAAAGCTTGTCCTGCTGTAGTATTGCTTTGTCTCTTGTTAAGCACAATAAATGAAAATTTAGATTACCAGCTGCTGGCTTCCAATGGTGAGAAAGCTGCTGTGAGACTATAACTTCATGTTAAGCATAAAGAGCGAGAGTTTTGTGGTGTAGTCCCCGCAGTTACCGGTGAGACATGCTCCCTGGACATTGCTAGCGGTTGAAGCAAGGAGTGAAGTGCTTGTGCTATTCCAACCATTTGTTCTCAGTGAGTTGTTGTTGGTGTCGAGTCCCCTCAGATCTGAGCTTTCTTGAGCAGAGAATCTCCTCTATTATTTTTCAAGAGTTTTTTGTCCTGGATGTATGCTTTTGCATTCAGCTGGTGAGGCTTCCTTCATGAAGCAATACTGCTTGTAGTGTGTGATGATACCTTTACCATCTCTCCGCTGCTCTCCGAACTTTGCTTTATGAATGCCAAACAGGTTCAAGTAAGGCTAATCAAAGTCTTTGTCAGGCAGCTGTCCCTATGCTGTCAGCTGGATGTTGCATTGCATGTTTTTTTACTTAAGAGTGTTGGTGGTTTTTATTCTGATGTCTCTGTCAACCTACTTAACAGGGCACAAAGGAACAGTCCCTTTTCTTTGTTACTTCTTGCTGCTAACCTGAAGAAAAGAGGCAATAGCTCTTTCTTACAGATATTATCTATTTTGCTAATACTTTTTTCTGGCATTAGATCCTTGTCGAAATTTCTAGGATTGTTGCCCTGTTCTCTCGCAAGTCCCAAGGACTTCCAGCTTTTGTTAGTCTAGCAGCTAGAATAGCAAACACAAAATCAGCTTTACTGCCAACACATCCTTTCTGTTTCTCATTGATCTAGTCTCCTCGGTTACTTGCCTTACTTCCCATTCTCCACCTAGGCTATTGATTTAACACTGCCTATCTGTTCTTTTTGTTTGCTGCACCTTCATCTTGAGTGCTTATGTTTCAGTGTTGTGCATGCTGAAGATGAAACGCCATTCTCACTGGTGGTAGGGAGGATCTCTAGGTATGTGGCAGAGCCTGTGAGTGGTTTGTCCAAGCTGGTCAGTGGCTCAGTAATTATCTGAACACATAAATGATGCTGTTTACATTATTTGCAACTTCCAGCGTATGGAAGCTGGATCTTTCAGAAAGATCAAACTGCGCTTTGGTAAAAACACAGAGAAGCAAATGTTAGTGTCTGTACTACTTCATGACGAAGCGCTGTATGTGTGAGCCTTGACTCTGGCTACATTCTGTCCCTGTACTCCCGTGGTTCTTTCCTCTTACGGATCTTATGTTTCTTCTCAAGAACTGTCTGTTCGTTGCCTGCTTTTCAGACACCACCTTCAGCTCTGTTATTCTATGTTACTGCTGCCAAACCCTGATGCTATTAATATGGGGATGGGTGGCGTGTATCTTGACTATTTGATACACAAAGTACCTCTTTTTGTGAATGTGTGATGCTTATGCTGATGACATTTACTGATAAATCTGAAGTTAGGTGACAGAAGGAGACAGCCTAATTTCTGAAGTAGAATAAATGTCAATTCTTTATTTAATTAAACTTGTGCAGTGTTGCTGTACAAGCACTCTTGAGACTTTCTGAAGTTAAAATAAAAGATGTAGATTTCTTGACCCTGAAAATTCCTTTGTATTAGCTTTTTGCTGCTAAAAAAATAGGATTCAATCTGAAGATGTTGATAATTTTGTGCTTTGGTAAAAGCACATCTTTCTACTACTTGTAATGAAGAATGTTTCCAAAGGATGTATCAAAAGCTGCAGCCCACATTCTGCTTAGGAGATGTAGAAATGAGGCTTTTAGGGATGCTGCAATTTTATTGCTTGCTTGCATTTTAATAGCTGCCCCTGAAGAGAAAGAATTAGTATTTATGGGCTATGCCTGTAGGTCTGCGTTGTGATGACATCCTGTTGTCTGGTTTTGTTTCTTTCAAGAGCCTCTTTAAACAAAACTATCACCCCCCTTCCTTTTTACCCTTCAGCAGTGTACTGATGTTTTTGTGGAGAGGCTCTAGTTGCTCTAGGTGTTGCTAGTTGGTACTTCGTGTTCCTGCTAACTGATGTATTCAGTGTACTTTTGCTTAACACTTGGAAACGCAGCATCTCAATTTACAATTGATGTTGTGGCTCCAAAAATGCATTAGTAACTTTACAGTGTGTACTCTTAATTCTTGACAGAAAAAGGATTTCATGCAAGGCTTCTAACTGTTCATTTTGGTGTTCTCTCTTTTTAACTAGGTATATATGATAGCTACCCACTAGGTGTATGGTATATGTGATAGCTACCCTTTTGAACTTATTGACAGGCAGACTCAATATTCAATTGTTAGTCTGTTAAGTAAGACTTACAGAGAGGAAAGCCTCTTATTGTAATGGATTGTGTAATACTCGGTGAAACTCGTGTAATATTGTTATCAGTAGAGAGTAGGGGTGAAGTGTCTGTTAGAGCTCACTGAGTGAGCTGGAGCTTAAAGCTCACCACCAGTTTTCAAGATTTCTTGTCATGAAATAAAAAAAAAAGTGAGGTTTTTCTGAGCATGCTGGTTGCTTTGAACTGAAAGCTAAACATGCATGCATGCCCAGCAGCACTTCTGGCTGAATGAACATGTTGATACTATTTGCTTCTCTGTATGTTTAGCTCTTCTCACTCTTGATATTGGATATTCCACTTCCAGGTAGTCCAACAACCATCAGGAACCATTGTAAAGCAAGTATCCACACTCCCGCAACCCTCAATGCTGACCCTACAGACATCTGCTGAGAAAAGGATGCCTCTGAATACACTTGTTCAAACTAACCAGTTTCCTGCAGGTAAAGTGGAACCTCTTTAATGGAGAAGGGAGAGGGCTGCTGAGGTATAGAAATAAGTGCCTGCCGTTGGTAGATTGTAGGAATGTAAGAAGGTAGTTGTCTATTGGGAGCAACCAGCTCTGTGCAGTAAGTTAAACATCTTTACTGTCTGCTTGGAGTTCTGATGAGAAACTCAGTGCCATGTCTACTTCTGGCACCTGTTAAAAGCATGCCAATCAAACATTTGTACTTTTTAAAATACTCGAGTAAGCTCCTTGCAGTGAACTTCGTTTAAACCATGATGCTTTTGAGAGTCGTTTCATGAGACTTTGCTTTTTCCTTCAACAGGTCCAGGTTGATGCATAATGTGAGTTTGTCTCAGCCAGCCAGTTTTCACTAAAACCTTTATCACTGGTCAGCACAGAGGAGGATGTTTGCTGGGAGTGTGTAGGGTTTTTGGCCATACAGAACATGTAGAATGTAGGACTCTAGAGTATCTGGTTCAAATGGACCTAATTAGTTGTTACTGAGTCTGCAGTAGCCTTTGCTAGAAGTATGAATTGATTAAACAATTGTCTTAGCATTTTGCTTTCTACTGTGGTATGTTCTTTGTTTTGTTTTAGGTTCCATTCTGAAACAAATTACCCTGCCAGGAAATAAAATTCTGTCGCTTCAAGCATCTCCTGTTCAGAAAGCTAAAATAAAAGAGAATGGAGCAACATCCTTGAGGTAAAAATAAACAATATCAGAAGTTTACTATAGGAAGGAATGAAAGGAACAGACAGCAAGTATGGGGGTGGGAACGGAGCCCAAATAAAAGCAACTTTCTTTAGAAACTTGTTTATGATAGATGTTTTTCACGTTATAATACTAATTGGCAAGGGGGAACTTAAAAATTTTTACCTTATAGCAGATGTTAATTATTCTTAATATAAGACAACTGTCCTGATGAGGTTGGATTTTCATCATGCTGTCACAAGAGTGTAATTATATAAACAGCATGCATCAATATGTATCAATTTTTCATTTGAGGAGGAGGCATATTGATCTCCATCCTATGAGTACTATTAACTAATCTAAAGCAAAGTTACCTTGTATTAAAAGCTCTCCATAGGATTAAAGCAGATGTAACCTCTGTTTTTTACTGACAGCCGGATAGCATTGAACTGTTATTTGGACTGGCTGGTAACCTGTCTAAAGCTCTATGCTGTATTTCGAAATCTTTTATTAGCTCCTCTTACAAGCTTGTTCCTTGTATGTAGAGGTGAAAGTCTTTGACTACACTTCTAATTATGGCTTCTGGCATATTCTCTAGGCCTTTAGATTACAAGAGTGTTTAAAGCTTTTAGTTCAGGTAACTGATTAACTTTTCAAAAGCAGAAATTATTTTTGTAGCTCTGAAATGTAATGTTGGAGAAGAGGTACAGACTGCCCTAAGCGTTATTGGTCTTATGACTTTAAGGCAAGCTTGAAGTTGCTCTTCCAGGGATAAAAGCAGACATGATACCTTTGTCTTGTTGCCCAGTTGACTTCTCATCTCTTGAAAGCTACAGCTTTGTGTGCACTGATACAGACAGAGCTGCTTTAGTTTACAGTAACATACAGTATACAGCAGACACTTAAAAACACTGGTAGTCAGAAGTTGAAATGAAAAGCTGATGTTAAAGCAATAGCTCTGTTCAGCTGCCTCAAGCTCTTATGAAATATACTTCAGAATATAATTTGGGATGTAATTTTGGGTAGTGATGTTTGAAAAAAATCACTTCATAAATATCATAATTAAAAAACAAACAAACCAACCCCTACAAAAAAAAAGAAACACTTTTTTTTCCTGTGATCTTCCAATTGGAATATATCAAATGTCTTATGTAAAGAAGTTTGAATTCTTAAAGTTCCTTCCCTGAATTGTTAAATTCTTAGTGTAGGAAAAACTCTGCTTTTACAGTGTGATCCAAGATGGATTTCTGTTCTTGCTTCTGGATTATGATTTTCAAAGTAGCTTAAGTCCATGAGAATTCAGATTTGAAATCTCTGTCTCACCTTTAATTTTTCTAGTAAGTTTCGTCTTTGAAGAGTTTATGACTTTGGATACACCCCTGGTGCTTCTTGTATTCACTGCTGTAACCAAACTTTCTGACTTTAAAAACTACGTATGAGAATCTTCATATATCTGAACCTGGGCAGCGTGTACCTTTTGGCTTCCTCAGTCAAGTATCTCTGTTCTCTGAGCAGGTCTAGCACCACATAGCGTTAATCTGGCCTGGGCAACAGATGTTCCCCGGTAAGCCGTGAAGTGGTTTTTCTCTTCTGTCCTGACTTTCAGTATTCCCAGCACAGCTATTCCTTGTGACCTGTGATCCATCAACTGCTGGTCACGTGTGAGGCAGAGAGAAGCACCATGGCCCCTTTTCAGGTTTTGTGATGAGGTTTTGTTATGGGCAGAGAGCATGCCTTGTAATTGATGTGATTGTACATGTGACACTTAAAACTGTGGTCTCGCTTTGCAGTATGTCATTGAGCCTGACTCCCTCTGCCATTGCGTGACTAGGTTAGGTTAGGTTTCGAGAATGTAATACTCGCTAAGCCGTACTTAATAAGCTGCAATTTGACCTTGTCTGCTCTTTAATGGGCTGTTTTAGGTTGCTTGAGATGAGCAGTAGAAAAAAAGGCAGTTTCCCCCCTTTTTCCCCTCCTCCCCCCCAGTTAAAAAAACCCTCTAGAAATTATTTCAGCTAAGCATGGACATTGCTGGCACTTGATTGCCCCATGGCATCTGTTGTAAAGGGCAGTCTGTTTTAAAAGCGTCAAGATTTTTATTAACTGCTTTACGTACTTCTGTGAAGTATGTGCTAGAGCACCCTGGAAGAAATAAGACACATATTTGCATCTTCAAATATTTGTTTTGCATCTATTCTATTAAATAGAGTTGTTCTCCAAAGCACATACAACTCTGACTTGTGCATTTTGTCTGGAAGGTATCAGCAATCTCAACTAGCAGACAAAACAGGAGTGAGACACCAGAGTGGAGAACATCTGGGCAGCTGTTTCTCCTGTCCTGTGGTGGTGGGAGCGTGGGTGCTTCTTGCTCTGCTGGAATTGTTCTGTCCCAAGTAGTTGTCCTTGATGGTGCATGGAGGTTTGGGTTAAGCGTGCCTTTCTAGTTTTCCCTTTGACTGTTGTATAAAATGGAGTAAAGATGGATTCAGAAGAAATGTGCGTTGGTCAAACACCAGAGGGTGCCACAGACTCACTTTTCAGCCAATACAGGCAAATTCACAGGTGTGAGGTGCATCTGCATTGCTTGGGCTTCTTTTCCAGTGGAATGTTCAGTATAAATGTCGAACCTGACTTCATGCAGGGTAATGCACAGAACTCCATGTTCTGTTTCCCCCCTTGTCCTGATAAGCTTAAATCACTGGAGACTTAGAACAGCTGGGAGAGTTTTTGTTGTTGATTTCTGGGTGTGACACGATCAAATGCAAAAAGCATTAAAGGAAGCGATGTAGAAGAGGGACTTTACGGAGGGATTGCTGAAAATGAAAGCGAATTCATATCCAACAGAAGCATCTTCATCTATACTTCATGTATACTCTGGAATATTTTGAATTTATCACTTTAGTAGGATGATTTTTATAGCTTACTCGAAGTACATGATACCTTACTTAAAATGATTGAGGTTTGTTTGAACAGCAAGGAAAAAAGAATAGTAAAACGTGCAAACTTCTTCAAACTTCTTCATTGCTTCTGAAACTTACATTAATTTTTAGTGAGCACTACTTCTAAGAAAATGTAATGATAGCTTCTTTGGGTTAAGTAAAATAAGTGCAGCAGTGTTTTCATAGGTGCAAATTAATTGTTCATTAAGGCTAGTGACTCAGTGACTTAATGCAAACTTATATCCCACAGTGAAGAAGTTAGAATTGGTCCTTAAAAACAGTACGGGCAGAGATGTCTACTTGCATATAAGCTCCTGTATGTGTGTACTCACAAGAGAGACTGTGTGCATGGAAACGTTAAAGAAAATAGTAACCTGATAAAGGCTGGTTTTAGAGAACTGAAACTGGTGTATGTAGAAAGTTGGATAGGTGTATAGTATAGAAGTTTACCTCCTCCTTGCTTTAGTATTTGGAGTATATGGCCGGATTAAAAGCTAAAATAATCTGCGTGCTATACAGCTGTACCTGAGGTGCAAGCACCCTTACTTGGATTCCATAAACAGCTCCATCGGGGTAATGTCAGGTTCCAGCACCTGCAGCGCTGATAGCTTGTGACATACGTTCTTGGTGCTAGTTGTGCTGATTTTGTAATCTCCTTTATCAGCAGATCTGTGGCAGTCACTGCACTTCCGTGGGATTCTTGTGTCTGCCACCAGCAAAGACTTCTGTAGTGGTCATTAAGAAGAGAAAACTGGAGTGTACTTGTGAAGATCAGTTAGCACTCAATTAGCATGCAGTGAAGCTTCATTTACAGGCTTCTTGAAAGATCAGGGTCTCTGCTAGGCTGATAGAGCATGAGTATATGCTTGGAACTGCTCAGTTGCTGGTTGTGAAGGGGTAGGAGGAGAGAAGCTGTTCTGGCAGCGGTGACTTCAGCTTCAAATTGTAGCTGTGGTCACTTAACCGTTCTGACAATCCTATAGGGTTTAGCGCTTTTCTTAGCACAATGGATTTGGGGCATAAGCCTAGTCAGGAAGCTATGTCTAATTGGACTTAATGAATGAAGCTGGTGTGAGAATCTGTTGGGTGTCTTTTTCCCTGAACAAATCACGTAGAAACTCATAGCCATGAGGGCACACAAACGAACGGCAGGAGGAGTAGGGGAAGGCTGGACTCCTTTCCTAGCCAGGCTTCTCTCTAGAAGTTTGAGGGAGAAGACTTGCGCCATGGAAACTTATTGAAGCCTAAAGGAGAAAATGCATCTATACTTGAAGAAAAAAATCCCAACATTTTCTTGTGTCTTTTGAGTATTGCTCAAACCCAACCCATGTTCTAATAACTTCAGCTTCTACCTGTTGCCAGTCAGAAGACAGCCTTCAAGAGATCCCATTTCACCTAAGAATGGCAAGTTTCTGATAACTAAGAGTTAAGGCTGCATAGCATTTTCTGAAGATGAACTATTATCGAACCTTGCCAGCGAATACTTTTCAGGAGGGCGGGGTGTTGGGGTTTGGTTTTCGTTTTCTTTTGTTTTCCAAATCGAAAGACCTTCAGATTGAGTGCTTCCACCTGTCTGTATTAGTAATGCCGAATAGTGTTCTGGTTCTAAACCCTTGAAGCCACCATTAGGGCCTTTGTCACTTCGTGAAGCAAAAAAGGCTTTCTTTTGATGATCTAAACTTAATTGAAAATAATTGGGTATTTTCATTGCCAAAGTCTTGCAAAAACTTATCCCATATAAAATTCATTCAGTATTTTAACTAAAATGATCTTTTTTTTTTTTTTAAAAAGCTGAGGCAGGTGTTTTGCTTAACATGAGCTTTGCCATGATTATAGCTAGCCTTAGTTATGTTAGCCCTAAGTATGCCAGACTTGAGTTTTTATTTTGAACATGTAGACCAGAGCTGCTACAGCAGAATCCAGCTAATGGAGGGATGTTAAGAACTAGAGCTCTGCTGCTGTTCTTCAGAAGCATAGCATCCTCCCTGTTACATACATAAGCGCTCTGTGGTAGAACTGATTCAAAGGGCAAGGTCTGGTTGGTTCTGTATACTACTGACAAGGAGCGTTTGTATCTTATTTTTTAAGCGAACTCACTAAAAGAAAAGTGAAGATCAGGTTTGTGCTAATACGCTTGTGCTGTAAGCTTCAGTTTGTAGGATAAGCATCTCAGTTAGAAAATGGGCTTGTTTATAAGTTCAATGAGTTAGTATTCAGCTTTATTCAATGCTTGGTTCTACCTGGTGAATTAGAGTTTTAGAACAAATTTCAGGCTGTAAGAGCGGTGGTGCAGGGTGGGGAGCTTGTGGGGGCTTTTAATCTAGGTTTACCTCAGTTCTTTCTGAGCTTACTCAAAATTTCAGTTTCATGTAAAGAATTTGCACGCCTAGCAACTGAGGCATTAGTCAAGCTAATGCTTGAGAGGCACTTCACTGAAGTGTGAAGGCTTTTAGGAGCCCTCTGTCCCTGTCCATGCTCACACTAAACATCTATTGTATAGGGGTAGCCTCCAAGATACGTGAATGTGGCCGAGAGGTTTTTTTTTTTTAATCCATTGTGAACGAAGCATAAAATGTTGGTTTTCTCTTTAGTAGAGATGAAGATGACATAAATGATGTGACTTCTATGGCTGGGGTCAATCTTAACGAGGAGAATGCGTGCATTTTGGCAACAAACTCTGAGCTCATTGGTACAGTGATCCGCTCTTGTGCAGATGAACCTTTTCTCTCCTCAGAAGTGCTTCAAAAGAAGATCTTGAACATAGGTGAGAACAAACCATACGTAAGAGATATGTACGGATGCAGTATTTCCTTGCCTGTTTCATCAGCCAGCCTCCAATCTTTGAAGAAGGAGCTGGAACTATTACTGCCTGCCATCTCAATTCATGTATTTCTACCAAACTATACTGAGTTTTTACTTCCCCTTCTGTGGAAAAATCTTTCATTAATTTTATGCAAAAGAGATGTTAAAGCTGTTTGTATCAGTGAATAATACTGTGGAATGTATGTTGAATGGCTGAGACTAAACTGTAATAGGAAGTTTTTAGTGTATGTATCATCTCAGCTGTTAGTTTCTGAGCAAAATAATAACTGTTGCTTAGCAATGTTGTGTTGTGTCAGAGCAGGGAGCATGCATTTGTGTAGCACCACACTGATAGGTACCGCTGCTGTCTATAGCAAACTGGATGAATGTTGCTCAACTCCTTGCTCCTGCTCTCTGCCTGGTAGCTTGCCATACTGGAACAGTGAGCTTTACAGCTGAGCATTCAGGAGGGCCTGCAGTTTCTATGTGCAGTCATAATTCTGTCACAGTGGTCTAACTACATGATCACAAAGTCTTTCTACACGCAACTTGTTCTTAGTCCAAACTAAGCAGCCAGCCTGTGACAAGCATGTAACCTGCAAATGCTATCTGCTACGTCATACATCCCGCACTACTTAGCGAGATGTGCCATCTGAGCTGTATGGGGCATAGCTGAGTGAAGTAAGTGCTGTGCTACTAGTGGAAAAGGGAAAAGACACACTGAAACAGGTGCCTAGAAGCTTTTCTCAAAATTCAGTAGAGGGTTAACCGGTCATCCATGGGAAGTAGATACTAGGAAGAATAAAAAGCTCTACAAAAACATAATGAGAAAGTACTTCTAGAATAATTGTCTGGTTTGGGGTGGGAAGACAATTCATTGAAAGATGGAAAATACAAGCCTGGCTGTTTCATGGCTAGTATGGTAGCTGTTCCACATTATTAGTATTGATAGTATTGATAGTATTATTAATATTAAAATTAATTATTTTGTTATTGTAATTGATATTATTAATAATGATAATTCATGTCGTAAGTGAAAAGTGTTTTGATTGCAAGGAAAGGAATACTCTCAGGGAGTACAGCGATTCAGAAAATGAATCTTCTGCTCTTGAACTGAGCCCTCTGGTCTAGGAAGAGAGTGTGTGTGTGTGTGTGGAGGGAGGTCTTGCGGTTTGGGGGTGTGTGTTTTTTTGTCTTCAAGTTGACGTTTCAGTATTCTGATAGTATAGTGGGAAACTGCTGAGGAAGTGTTGAAAGGTGCTTGAGCAAAATGAGTTCTGCACTCAGCTAGGGTACAGACCAATGCTTACTGGCCAAGATCAAACAGTGGGAACACTTTGATCGTATCTGGGAAGACATTGTAGATTCTTCCTGTCTTGCGAGATTGTTATGCATTTTCAGTTAGAGTAGCAAAGGCAAATGAAATAGGTGATTAGCTTTTTTACAGTGTACTGTTTATCCATTCTTAACGCTCCACTTGGCAATAAATACCGAAATGGGTTTTGAAGGCGTGCTGTATATTGCATCATAAAGTATTACAGCCGCTGTAAATGCAGTGAGGGGCAAGGAAAAGTGCTTCTGACGGGTAGGGTGTATGAAGTGTGTGAAACTGCTGCCTGCCATGCCTACCAGGGAGAAGTTGCTGCTGTCCAGGTGTCTTGACAGAGTTGTGTTGAGTGATCGATGGTGTCAGCCACGGGAAGGCTTCTCCGTCGGCAGCCTGCAGCTGCAGGAAGGTTGCGGAGGTGATGCCCAGCTCTGGGCACGGGGCTGAGACAGTTTTGCCTGGAGCTGTCACCAGCCTCGGTCGCAGCTGCTGAAATGCAGAGAGGCAGTGGCAGCCCGAGAGAAAAGGTTGAGGGTGATGGCATGATGACCCCGGCTGTGTTGTCCGAGCTGCTGCCGTGGGATGGTTGGGTCTGTCTGCCCCATGCCGGTCAGTCGAGGCAGGTGAGAGGGTCCCGTGTGCCCGGAGTGCACTGAAAAAACCATCCCCGCTCATCGAATAAATGTCATGAGTTGTTAACAAGCGCGGTGTCAAGCAGGGCAAAATGTAATTCTCTATTTTTTTTAATTACTGGAATTAACAGAATATGGCACTAATTTCTACAGCTACCGCCTCTCCCCCTCCCCGAACATGAAGCTTGATTTGTGTTCTTATTAACTTTGTCCTATAAATGACCTTGCAAGGAGAGTGGTTCTGGAGGCTAAGTGAAACAATGTCTATATTTTCTGAAGCTCCAGGCTAAGTTTTATTAATATAATGTCTAAGATCTTTGAAGTTGTGACTTTACCAGGAAAATCATAATCTCCAAACCTTTATTCATAATGGGTATGACTTCCAGGGGGAACAGAATACCTGCTGTGCTAATTATTTCAATTATCAGCTACTACTAAAACACGTAATGGATTTTCTCTGCTTCCACAGGTAAAAGGCATGACATTATGGAACTTAACTCTGATGTCGTGAACTTGATCTCCCACGCTACACAGGAGAGATTACGAGGGCTCCTAGAAAAACTAACTGTAATTGCTCAGCACAGAGTATCAACCCACAAGGTAAAGGAAATCATTAAGCAAGTTTCGCACCAAAGTTTTTCTGCTTTGCAGCCTTGAAGGTAAACCTCTTCCAAGTATAGGCACATCATATGCAATACGTGCATTTTCAGTATCTACCAAAGGCTGGTTTTGTTTTAACTGTTCATAGCCTCTAATTATTCCTTACGTTTCCACCTATCCACTTGTTGGATAGGTGCTCTTAAAACCCAGCATAAGAGTAAGTGCATGCGTTTCTCCTCTTCCATAGAAGTGGTGGCTATTATACAAAATCTGTCTTGCATGGTAAATGTAAAGCTGGTTTTGAATGCTCTTGGTGGTCGGGTTGATTTAGGGGCTTGTGTTTGCTTTATGCATTTACTGGTGGTGGAACTGCAGTATTGGCTCAGTAAAAACCCTTGGGAAACTGAATGGAGTATTTTATTTTTAGAAAGTGCTCCATGTGAAGGCAGAGACCCCTTTGATCTTCAGGTTTCCGGAACTTTTTTTCTGCCAGTGCTATTGAAGATTCCCTCCCCTCTCTCTTGTATTAGCTCCATTCAATATAAAGCATATTGGGTTCCAGTGAGCCAGTATCCCTTAAGATGCTTGTATGGTACAAATGGTAAGCAGTAACTTACTAGTGGCCAAAATAGCTCTTTGAGGCTTTTTTTTGTCATTCGATAATAAGATATTAGTTGGTACTTTTTTCAATATCAAGCTGATTTAGGAAAAAATTGGAAGTTGGAAGCAGATGTATCTGTCAACTCTCAAGTTCTTGTTTGTTTGGGGTTTTTTTTTTACGGGAACTTTACACTTAATGAAATTTAACAAGAGCAACTGACTGATGGGATAGGAGTTATTTTTGTACTGAAGACTTTTTATAGGCTTTTAAGCACTGGAGAAGCAATAGTAAAGAGCAGGAACTATTTGGAAACTTCTGAGTATTTATAGTGATGTCTGGAGCAGTTGGAGTATGCGGTTCCTTGCCGGAAGAAGATGCAGTAGAAAAAAAATCAATACAGAAAAAGTACAGAGTTTTTTATGAGAAGTCTTTAGAAATTGCACATGTTCTGTGTTGTCTCTCCAAAGTGGGAGATCCAATAGAGCTCGTGAGCAAAGGTGAGGTGGAAGCTGAAGTCCTAAGTAACCAACAGGACTTAGTGGCTTGCAGACACCAAGGATACAAGGGGATGTTTTTGGACAGTGGGCTTGATGGGGCTGATTTCTTTCCTGTTGAACTAAAGCAATAGAAAAACTGATAGGTTTTTGTCTGATTGAATTGCCAGAGGCAATGATAAGATTATAAGACTGCAATAAGCTTGCTTTCTTTTCCTCTTTTCTCAAAAACAAACCAAACAAACAAAGTAATGGGCATAATAATCCCAGAGGCATAGGTACCTTCTTTCGTTAGGCAGATGGTATTACACTACAGAGGCGTGTCCTAAATTATTGCGTTTGTGAGTAATAATATTGAGAGATGCTGACAAGTTTTTAGAAATCTAAGTTCAAGAACAGAACACTACAGGGTTTTGGAGCCCTGTTATGTATTTATGTATGTTTTTACACAGCCCGGTATTCCAGCGGTGTTCCCCAGGGCTCAGTTTTG